CAGCAGCTGGCATGACCGGGAAGCCGGCAGTGTGCTGAGGCAGTGTATTGGGGTCTGGCACAGCCCAGACACCCTTCTCTTCCTCTTTCCCCCCTGGGTCCTACGGCTGGGTTTTGATGGGCAGCCGCCTGCAGCGGGGTTGCGCATCCCTAGCCCAACGTGGGGCTGATGGAGGGTGTCCAGTGACGGAAAGCCTTCCCTGTGCCGCCAGCTCTGCCACGGAGCCTCCTCCGTCTGGGGTCGGATCCTGCTGCACTGGGGTGGTGTTGAGGATAAGGGCCTGTCGCAATCCCTGCTTTCCTGCACCCTCCCCTTCCCCTCGCTCCCAGGGCCAAGAGCGCAACAGGGTCAGGGGAGACTCTGTATACAAGAAGTGTGTGGTGGGGGGGCTTGATGGAGCTGGATGGGGTCACAGAGGACCCACACCTCTGCTGTCACTCCCTGCCCCTGTGTCCCCTCTGCCCTGTGTGAGTCCGCCCGGGGCCCCTTTGCAGCCCCTGGTACCTCCTTCTTTTGTCTTTTTTTAAGAAAAAGAAAAAATAATATTATTAAAATTGTAAGTTTAAAAAAAGGAAAAAAAAATGGGAAAAGCCCCCCCTCTCCCAGCCCTTTCTCCGGTTCCCCCCTCCCTGCCATGAGCCCTTCCACCCTGTCCTGACTTTTGTACAGGCTTCTTCTCTTGGGAGTCTCGTTTTATATCCAGTTCGGAGAGCTTCAAACCAAGGAGAGACTTTGCAGACTTCCTTTCTAAATCCCTCCAGGGGCCGGGGGGGGGGCAGCCCCCCCCGCTCCCCCTCCTCAATGTAAATCTTGTGTGCTGTTGTCCCCGCTCCCCCCCCTCGGGTTCGTGTACCTCGTGCTTGTACATTTCCGCGCTGTAGACAGTGTGTACGATACTGTTCTTTCAATGTGTTATCACTAGAGCAGGTGCCTCCATCGATGTTAGGGGAAACGATGAGAAAAATAATAATAATTTTGGGGTTTTTTTTTTGGTTTAAAAAAAAAAGGAAAAAAAAAAGGAAAAAAAAAAAAATCCCTTCCAAGGCTTCTTCCAAGGAGAAGACGGGAGGTGCCGGGGGAGTGCGGCTGTGCTCACCAGCTCACCCCAGCAGCCTCGGAGGGGGTGGCCGGGGATCGGGTCCCCCCGAGGTGGGGTTGCAGCGAGCGCTGGGGTGGGGGGTGCGTGTGCGCGTGCAAGGGTGCGTGTGCGAGAGGTTTGTGTGTGTCTGTGTGTGTGTAAGGGACCCGGGGCCGGGGGAGCAGCCCTGCGGGGTGGGGGGGTCGGGGGTGCACCCCGCTGTCTCCACCAGACCCCCCCCCCCAGTTCTCACAGCTCGTGTCCCGCTGCCCCGTGGGGCCGTGGTTGCACCCTGTGTCTTGCCCACTCGTGGCTGGGACTGCAGGGGGTGGCCGAGCCGGGAGGGGGGGATGTGCTGTGTCCCCGCTCCTGCTGCTGTCCCTGGGCTCGGGCATGAGATGGGAGCCCCTTGGCTCAGCCCTGGGCTGCTCTCGAGCCCCATATGCCCGGAGAGTGCCTGCATCAGCTCCCGGGCCCCTCCAGGGGCAGCCTGGAGGTGGAGGGCTCAGCCCCACATCCCCTTTGCAGGGGGGGTGGCTCCAGGGTGGGAGCCCGGCGTGGTGGGGAGAGGGGCTCTGGTTTGCAGTTAAGGTACGATTCTTGCTGCCAGACTCTGTGGAGGGTGCAGGACCCTCGCTGCCCCCCCCCCTCCCCGGGCACACTGAAATGCCTTTTTGTTTCTTTTTTGTTTTGTTTTGGGTTTTTTCCTCCTCCCCTCCATAGTTTGTGCCATTTATGAGTCATGTATGGTACCAATAAAATGACTTTTCGGTTTGAGGCTGTCCTGAGCGCTTATTCCTGAGCATGGGACCCGGCTGATGCAAGCAAGGGAACCCCCCCCGTGTCCCCTGTGCCCTGGCAGGGCGGCTTCTGTGCTCCCAGGATGATGCTGGCTCTCCTTGGGCTCCTGGTTCCCAGCCAGGCTCCGGCCGGCTCCCTGCCATGCCGTGGGGGAAAGCAGAAATCCCAGCAAGGACAGAGCATGGGGCTGCTGGGAAACGGCCCTGTCCCTGAGCCAGAGCAAACAAGCAGCTCCGGGCCTGCCAGGATGCCAAGGTGATGGGCATGTGTCCTGGGGACCTGCTGTGGGAATGGAAGCAGCAGCGGGGCAGCAGTGGAGCAGCATGGAGGTGTCCTGGGGGGGAGGGTGGTGGTGGCACAAAGGAGGGGCAGGTGAACCCCCCCCCAGAGAAGGAGGGACAGCAGCAGCCTCCATGGGGGGTACCCCAATAATCCAGAAGCTGGGTGCCTCTGTGCCAGCACTGGGGGCAAGGTGCTGGACCCCAGTTCCCCCAGACCAAGGCAGACAGCTAACCCCAGAGGTGGCTTTTTGCTGTCCCTACTGGGTGGGGGGCAGCTGGGTCTAGCCCCCAGTGGGGGCATTGGGGACACAGTGAGCTAAAACTGGATGTTTCATCTAAAGCACCCCTCCTGGCCAAATGTGTAAATGGGGCTGTGGGTAATGGTGGGGTAGGGGCAGATCTGGCAGTAATGGGGGAGGAAAAAGGAATATCGGGGAAACCAGGCTCTTAAAATCAGGCTGATGGGGAGGCAGGAGGATGGTTCCATGTCTCTGGAGCCAGGGCAGCGATGATACTTGCACCAAGAGATGCCACCTTGCTGTCCTTCCCTCTGACAGGACTGGGGTCCAGGGGGTTGCAGGATAGATGTGCCATGGTGGGAGCTCATGGCTGGGCAGGCAGGAGCAGGGTGGTCCCTGGTGAGCCCATGGTGTGGTGGCACCAGGGCTGAGGTGTTGGTGTCCCCCCTCCTGACATGCACCGAGCTCTGGCAGCCCCCATGGGGTTCCCTGGGCTGAAGGGGAGCGATGCCCTGCGGAAGCGGGTTGTTCCATCTGCAAAGGATCCCGCGGAGGCCTGGCCAGATCCTGCCCTCACACAGCCACGGGGAGCTGGGGGCACGCGGATATGCAGAAGCACAGCGCCCAGGGCAGCAGTCCCCATCCCACTCAGGGTCCCTTGTGCCCAGCTCTGCTGGTGGAGAGCCCTGAAGCAACGCTTTGGGGTTGAGGTCTGAGCTGGGAAGGTCAAGGTTGCCCAAGAAACCCTGAAACCTCCCTCCTACATCAGCCCCAGTGCTGTGAAAAACGAGCTACTTCCTGCTCTGGTTTTCCCCTTGCTTCTGTGTCCTCCCCTGTCCTGCCCTGGTGCCAGTGCTGAGCCAGTGTGAGGGTCCCACACAGTGCCCTGGCACCCAGAGGGAACCCTGAGGCAGAGCTGCCTTCCTGTGCCACCTTCGCCCAAGGTCATAGAGAGCAGAGACTCCTGCTTGTGCCAGGGAACACGAAGCAGGAGCTGGGGAGGTGGCAGCCAGCAAACCATAGGTACAGGGGTGCCAGGGAGCCTGGTTTAAATCACAGCGCAGCACAAAGGGCGCAGGGTGTGGTTCCTGCAGACCGCTTGCAGGGCCCGTTCAAAAGCACACGATGCCCCATGCAGGGACCGAGGGCCATGCTGGGGGGCACTGGCTGCCCCAGGGAGGTGTGGGGCACAGCTGAAGGCTGGCGTGGGGGCACGGTGGGCAGCGTGGGGGGCTCTGGGCACGGTGGCTGTGGCAGAGTGGTCTGCTGGAGGAACCAACATGGGTCTGGCAGTGTGGAGCCAGAGCTGGGTCTGTTGGGCAGAGCAGGAGCAACACCTGGGCACGGGGTGGGGGTCCTGGGGGCAATGGGCTCTTCCCGCACCCGAGCCGGGTGTCAGGGTGGGATGGGGCAGGCGCGGGGCGGGTGCAGGGGGGGTCCCTCCGGCAAAGGAGGGTCCCGGGCGGCTGCACGCCCCGGGCAGACCCCGGGGGGCCGTGGCGGAAGGGGCGGCACCGTCCAGCCCTGCCCACCCGTCCCGCGGTGTCGGTGCGGGGCTGAGCCGTGCAGAGGAGCTCCTGCTGCCGCAGCCGCCCGCCAGGACACGACCCCCGGGGCTCCTGGCCCGCGCCCACCGGGTGCGTCCGCGGCACGACCGGGAGCGGCCGCCGGGACCCCCCTCCCTGCCCCCGGCTGCGGGTCCCAGAGCCCCGGCGCCGGGCGCGGGTGAAGGACCACGAGCGGTCGCAGGGGCAGAGCCACGAGTGGGTCAGCGGCGTGGAGACCCCTCGGTGGGCAGGGAGAGGGATGGAGCCGGGCAGAGCTCCAGCCTTGGAGTGAAAACCCCGCGAGTGGCTCCTGCGGCTGTCCCGCACTCGGGGGATCGGGGTGAGTGTGGAAAAGGCTGGGTTTGCGGCAGCGCCCCGCTTGGGAAGTTTTAAATGCGAACCCTGGTTCTGTGGCTGGTTTGTGCTGAAGCTGTGGCCGGCGCAGTGCGCCCATCCTGAAAGGATGCAGCTGGTGCTGAAGGTGGAGCAGGCGGGATGGCTGCTCTCGGGATCACTGTGGGTAAGGAAACCAAGAGGAGGAAACCAGAAAGGGCACGGCAGCTCTGCAGGGACGGGGCTGTCCCCTCCCCTCGCCTGTGCTGGTGCAGGTCGGTGCTGACCCTGACCCGAGCACAGAGGCAGCCTGGGGTGGCCGTGTGCCAGGAGGTGACAGTGGCAGGGTAGGGCGATGCCGGCATCGCAAGCAGGTGAACCTTAAACAAGCCATAAAAGGCGGGCGCTGGCGCTGTGCGGCCGGGCCGAAAGGGGCAAAGGTGCCGGAGGACAAGGGTACGTGTTTGGTCCCTGCTTCATCCCCCACAGCCTCTCTGGCGGGCATCTCCTGCCCGCTCCCCCGCCCCGCTGCGGTCAGGATCCCCACCTCTGCTCGGTGCCGTCCCGCAGCTCTTTCCTTCCGGGCAGGACCCAGCAGGTGCCTTATTTTTCTCTGCCCACATTTCCTGCTCGGAGGCAGGAGGTAGGGCAGGAGGGGAGCCTGCACCCAGCCACACCGACAGCCCTGCTCTGTGCTCAGGTGCTCACCGGAGCTGCCGCGATGGAGCTGATGGGGAACATCTCGCAGCCTGTGTATGGCCCCGGCCCCGAGGCGCCGGGGAGCAGCACCCCTGGCCTGGTGGGGATGGTCCATGGATTCCTGCGGATGGTGCAGCCCAACGCCCTGCCCATAGGTGGGTGTGTAGTGATGGGGGGCTGGCAGTGGGGTGGGGGTGCTGCTTGAAGCTGCAGGGTCCTGGTTGAGTCTGAGCTCTCCTGTACTGAGACTGTCCATCTAGCATTTAAATGCTGGGGTGCTGGGTTAAGAGGGTTATTGTGGGGGCAAATGGAGGGGGATTCCTGACGACTGCCAGCTCTGTCCTGCTTGTGTCCCATCACAACTGTGGGCAGCCTCAGATGGGGCCCAGAGGAGGCTTTGTTGGCAGTGACACCCTGCAGAGTCCTGCCCCATCCTCCCTCCAGGTATCTTCATGCCAGGCAGAAGGTGCAGAGCAAACCCTGTGGTATCTGTAAGTCTGTGGGGCCCTTGCCTGACTTGCAGCCCTCTGTGCTTGCAGGTGATAAGGTGTACTTAGGCAGGACCCGGTTTGGGGCCACCAAAAGCAGCGTGTCCCAGTGCCAGTACCCACAGGGCAGCGTTGCAGGCACTCCCTCCTCCTCCTGCAAGGGGATGTGGGCTGGCACATCTCTCTCCCAAAGTGGTGACAGGTCCAATTGATCGATGCCAGGACCCTGTGGCTGCTTGATGCCCTGGGGCAAGTGCTGCCTTGCAGGCAGTTTTGCCACCCTGGCTGCTGGCACTTGTGCTTCCTCCTTCTCTGGGCCCAGTCCCTGCTTGCCAGCAGCTTGCAGGCAAACCTGTGGCTGGCAAACAATGTAATGGCTTTGTGGCCTTATTAGTGGCAGGCATATAGCAGGGCACAATCACACCATGGGCCAGCACAGCTTGTAATGAAGCCATGGGACACAGGCAGGACGAACTCTGGGGATCAGGAGGCAGCATGGTGGGTGGGGTTTGCCCCAGCATTCACACCACCCTCACACTGCATGGGATGGGCTGCAGGAGAGCAGCCCAAGGGCAGCCAATGTGGCTATTGGAGCATCCTCCTGGGGTGAGGACCCCCTTGCTCTGGGGACCCCTGTGAGCCTGGGTGCTGGGCAGTGCTTCTGAATGCAAAAGGCTGCGAGACACAAGGCTGAGGTGCAGCTGGAAGGGAGAAACATGCCATGCCCTCACAGCCACTCTGAGCTGCAGCACTGGAGGTCATGCCTGGTGCTGGGGGCCCCTCTCTGTGCAGAGCAGGGTATTGGGGCCCTCCTAGACAGCACCTCAGGGTCCAGCGCCTGCTCACTGTCCTCTCCGCTCCTTTTTCCCAGAACTCATCACAGGTTTTGGGCAGTCAGAGCGTGAGGAGGTGTCCACCGGGGAGGAAGTTGCGGAGGTGAGCAGGGAGCCAGCAGCCCAGAGCACCACGGGCTGGGGGATGCTGGTGGGTGATGCTCTGAGGCTGAGCCCTGGGTGATGGCCGGCAGCAAGGGGGGATGTGCAACCCCTGGGGGGGGACCCATCCTGGGTGTCCGGATGGGACCCTCAGAGCTGGGAAGACTTCATGGGCACTGCCTCTCTTCCCCTGCCAGCTGTTGCTGTACGAGCTGGGTTTCCTGGTCTGCACAGCCATCGGGCTGCTCTTCATCCTCCTCGTGCCGCTGGTGGGATGCTGCTTCTGCTGCTGCCGCTGCTGCGGGAACTGCGGGGGCCGCATGTACCAGAAGCAGGGCCGGCGGGCGGGCTGCCGGCGCAGGGCGCTCTGGGCCTCGGTCCTGCTGGTCTCCGCTCTCCTCCTGTGAGTGCGCTGCCCGGGAGGCTCCGGATGGGACCCAGGGGCGGGTGGAAACCCCGGCGCTTGGCGGCCGTGTCAGGAAGCTGCCATTGTTCACAGGAGCAGATCCCGGCGCGGCGGGACAAAGGAGAGGAAGCGGCAGCAGTGGGGAGCTGGCCCTGGGGGGCTGCGTGTTCCCGACAGCTTTGCTGTGGGAACTGCGGGGTGCACCCCGCACCGGGCTGCTCCTCTGTGCCTCGCTTTCCCGCGTTCCTCCTCTCTGGTCCCTTGGCTGTGTGCAGGGATGCTCTGGAAGCAGGGCTCGGTGGACTCTTCAGCCTGGGGTTGGTGTGGGTGGATTCAGGGGCTTCCTGGTGGGAGCATCAGGACCGAGCTCCCCACACACTGACCCTGCCACCCTTCCCTCGTAGGGCTGGTGATGTTTGCGCCTTCATCAGCAACACTCGCTTCTCCCAGGCTGTGTGCGGTACCTTCCCCAACGTCAACACCACCCTCAACAATGTCCGCATTTATGTGGCCTCCATCCCCCAGGCACGCTTGGGCCCCCTTCCCTGGCTGGAGTGGCTGACGGGGGGCAAGGGGCTGAAGGGGAGGACAGCAGCCCAAATAGCCCCCCGGGGAAGGGTCCTCACTGACAGCCCATCTCTGTTCCTGCAGCAAATCAATTATATCATCGACAGCAGCAATGTGCCGCTGAGCCATGCCAACCACAGCCTCCAGGGTGAGGCTTGGAGCACCCCCAATGCACCCACAGCAAGCAGGGCTAGGGGTGCTTCATGGGTGCCCTGCTGCTGTGCAGATGCTTGCTGTCTCTGAGGGCTGCTGGGCTGCCTCTCATGGGTTTGGAGTTTGGGGTCTCTGCTGGACTGCTGCTCTGCTCCAGATGCTGCTTTTCCCTATCCATGCTCCTCTCTGGGGAGGGTGATGCAGGTGGTGGCAGAGTGGCGGTGTTGCCTCTGCCCCCTGCCTGTGGGGTGGGAGTGGGATGGTGTCCCACACTGGGGGACTTTTTGGCAGCTCTCCTGCGAGCCTTGAGACCCCACCATTGACACCCTCCCATCTCTGCAGACATTGGGCTCAACCTGGGTGGCACGATCATGTCAAGTATCAGGAGTGGCACAGATGGGGCTCTGGGATCCCTCCAGTGCCTCTTGCAAGGTAATGGCCCAATCCATTGGAAGGGACTTGGGGGAGATGCCAGGGCTGAGAGCTGGGGTAGGTGCATGTTTGGGAAAGGCTCCCATGGGGGGGGGGTGTGTGTGTGTCCATCTGGCCTCCCAGCTGCAGCCTGGGGCAAACACTGGGACTTTGGGGTGTGCCCCTATGTCGCATTTTTTGTTGGGTCCCCGAGGTTCAGCTGGATGAGGATGAGCTCTGTGCTGTCCCCCTAGAGATGAAGACACTGTGGGCTGCCTTCAGCAGCATTGCCAGCACCCGCTCGCACCTCGAGGCTCTGCAGAGCAACTACAGTGAGCGGCTGGCCATCCTGCGGGATGGGCTCAACCAGACCCTGCAGCGCTGCGGCCAGCCCTGCAGCAGCGTGTCCCTGCACGGCCTGGCCTTCAGCGCCAACTTCAGCACAGTGAGGAGGCGCAGCATGTGGGGTGAGGGTCCTGCAGCCCCCCCGCAGCCCCCTCATCACAGGCTCTTCCCCACAGATCCCCAGTGTGGAGCAGCAGCTGGAGGCACTGCGTGATGTGTCTGACTCGGACATAGCACTTGATTTGGAGAGGGTAGGGGGTCCCTCTGTGCCTGGGTGCTGCTGGGCTGTGCTGTAAGGGGGTGGCTTGGGAAGAGCCTGATGGCAGTAAATTGCTGTCAGTAAAGGGAAGGGCTGGCTGGAGGCCTGCCTTGTCCAGAGCCTGCCTGCTGTGCTGCCAGCCCTGGGTGCTGAAGTGGTGGATGGGCACCGGGGGAGCCTGGCTGTCCTGTGCCACTGGGATCTGGGGATGGAGGGGATGTGCTGCTCAGCCTTGGGCTGCAGGCAGGGATGTGAGCTATACGCTGTGCCCCCCTACATGCAGGTTAATGACACACTGAACACGATCACTGACAAGGTGCAAGAGGGGTCCCAGGATGTGGTGACAAGTAAGCAGGGCTTTGTGCCCCTTGTGCTGAATTACCCCTCTCCCAGGGCTCTCTTTTTCCTTCTCACCCCATCCCTGTCTGGAACCCTCCCCTGCTGCTGCTCTGCTGCCTGCAGCCCTGGCTGTCCCCAAGTGCCACCCTGCTGATGCTGTCTTTGGCCACGACTGCCCCCTTCCCATCCTCTCTGGCTCCCCACTGCCCCAGGCTGTGGCAGCAGCTTGCAGCACCAATCTGTCCCCATCCCCTGCAGAGACCCAGGAGGAGCTGGGCCTCATCAGGCAGGAGATCAGGAGCTTGAAGGAGCAGTTGCAGGACCAGTTGCCACTCGGGGATGTGGAGGAGAATGTTGGGGCCTTCGTGGGCAACGCCACATCAATGCTGAACGAGTACCAGGAACCGACCATTGCCTTGGATGGGCTCAGGTAGGCAAGCGGATGCTGCCATCCCCTGGCTCCCTTGCCCAGAGAGGCTCAGGCTCTGCATCCTCCAGCTTCTGGAGATGGGGACTTGCTTGGTGCAGGTGGCCAGAACTGTGCCTTGCAGACACCTGTTCCCCTTTCCCAATGGGATGCCTGGGGGCTTTGTCCTCCCCTAGCTGGTGGGATGCTGGGCGCTGCTCGGGGTGCCACATCCTGCTGTGTGACCCCTGCCCCTCCTCTGCCCCAGGTGGAGCGTGTGTGTCCTCCTGTGCTGCATGGTGCTGCTGGTGGTTCTCTGCAACGTCGTTGGCCTGGTGCTGGGGCCCCTGGGGCTGAAGGAGAACGTGCTGCCCACCCAGCGCAGCAGCCTCTCCAATGCTGGCGGGAACTTCTTCATGGCGTGAGGCTCCCTTGGCTGCTGGGGATGTGTGGGAGCAGTGGGATGGGTGGACAGGCCTGGCAGGGGGATGCTCAAGCTGTTAAATCATCAGGTTACTGTGGCTGAACAGCCTGCATGACGGTAACTCACAGGGCAGGTGGTAAAAGCACGGGTAAAACACGGTGCTGGTGAAAGGAGCTCAAGCAGAGCCCATCCAACCACCACTGGCAGGGACCTGGCAAGTATGTGAGGTCCTGCAGCTCTGCAGGTGGCTTGCAAAGCTGTGCCCGCGTCTGAGCCCCAAGGTACAGCCTGTCTGTGCTCCTGGGGCCAAAGGCAGGGCGAGATGTGCTTATGAGAATGGTGATGCTTCCTGGTACTGCTGTGGGGCAAGGGGTGAGCAGGCTCCAGGCTCTGTTAGCAATGGAGAGCATCAACACTGGGGCATGTGGCCTTGGGTGCTGACAGTGTCTGTCCTGGCAGAGGGGTTGGCTTCAGCTTCATCTTCTCCTGGGTGCTGATGCTGCTGGTGGTGATCACCTTCGTGCTGGGGGGGAACACCTACATGCTTGTCTGTGAGTCCTGGCACAGCCAGCAGCTCTTCCAGGTGAGCTCTCCATGCGGAGACACCCTTGCCCAGACCCACTGCTGCCTTTCTGAAGGCCGCTGGTGCAGTGGAGGCGTTGCTGTGTGGTTTGGGATGCTCCTCCCAGTGTCCTGCCCTCCACCATACCTAGTTTTTCCATCATTTCCCTCCTTTCAGATTCTGGACACCCCTGGCCTGATCCCTGGCTTCAACCTGTCAGAGCTGCTGGGCCAGCAGGATGGCACAACAAACTTCTCAGAGATCTATAGGTGGGTCCCAGTCCTGTCACGGTGTCTTTGGGGAGGGGTACAACTGCTCAGCACCCTCGAATGCTCCCTGGGATGGGGGCAGCTTGCCCTGCCTGGGTGAGGACATGCTCCTGGTGGCCCTTGCCTGCCCTGTTTTCATTCCTATGTCCTCATCCTGCAGGCAATGCCAGCAAGATGCTGCCCTGTGGCAAATGCTGCACTTGGACCAGAGAGTGTCCTTGGATGAGCTCTCGAATATCAGCCAGGTGAGTGTGGGGTGCCAGGGTCTGGGGGGCAGAGCTGCAGATGTGGGGCTGCGAGTGGGGATACAGCGCGGGGCCAACACCGTGCCCCATCACGGTTCCCCTCCTCTGGCAGTACACAGGAGAGATCTCCACAGCCTTCGAGAAGATGAACATCACCCTGGACCCCATCTCCCTGCTCAGCCAGAGCCAGAGAGACTCGCTGACAAACGCCAGCCGGGCCGGGCAGCCCCCTAACTTCACCCTCACCCTGGAGCAGGTGGGCTGGGAGCACCCTAGCGTTGGGATGGGGGGGTCCAGATGTGTGTTGGGGGGTTCCACTGAGCCCTCCCCTTTGCTGCTGTGGGACTTCCACTGAGGCTCCCGGGGTGTCTCTTGCCATCCGTGTCACCCCTTGGGGCACCTCCTTCATGGGGGAGGCCCTGGCTCCAGTCTGCCCTGCAGGGATGGGGCATGCACCCCCCCGTGAGCCCCATTCTTATGGCTCTGTCTCTGCCTTTTCCAGCTGGATCAGAGCGTGACGCAGGGAAGCCTCTTGGATCTGGCTGCAGAGCTGGAGCAGCTGGGAGACACAGAGGTGGGAGACCACAGCACCTTGGGACCGTGGCCACCCTGTCCCCAAAGCCACTGGCTGTGTGGGACAGGCTCTGCAGACATGTCTCTGTACTGATCTGGGTACCAGAAAACTCCAGCCTGGCCCCACATCAGACGGCTGTGGTGGGGCGAGGACTCCATGGTGGGCATACCACTGACTGCAGCTCCTGCAGGGCTTGGATGTGAAAGAGGACCTGAAGGCTGATGCCCTCGAGTTGAGGGAGCTGGATAAGGAGATGCAGATGAGCTTCTCTGGGGAGCTGGTGAGTGATGCCCAGGTGGGGAAGATCATGGGGGTTCAGGCTTGTGCTCCCAGAGAGCTTGGAACCTGCTGGCATGGTCTCAGCTGAGCTGTGGGCTGCTCCTCTGACTCCCCCTCTCTCCATCCACAGCAAAGCCTGAAGGAGAACATCCACTTGGTGCAGAGCAGGGCTTCCGAGCTCAAGGTAAGCTGTGTAAGGGGGCCTCCTCAGCACACCCCGGTCCAGGGCACCCTGCATAGCACCCTTGAGGTTCCACATTGGATAGCGGGAGAAAACCTGCAGTCTGGGAGCACTGGTGGCTGCTGCCAGACAGGGAGAGATGTGAGGACCCCGCTTCCCTATCACGTTGCTGAGTGCACCTTTCACCCCAGGCACAGACAAACACTGCGCTGAATGAAGCCAGCAAAGCCCAGGAGTTCCTGGAAAGGGAGACCATGAACATCATTAAGAACGTGAGCTTGCCTTGCCCTGCTGCAGGGCTACCTTGTGGGGCTGGGACTGGACCCCCACATCAGGACCTCCCTCTGCTCAGGGATGCCAAACAACATCTGGCTGTTCATCCTGCCCTGTCAGCTTCTCTGGGGGTCCCTGCACCTCTGGGTGCCTCCTGCCTTCAGGGCCCTCCAGGCAAGGGGCTGGGGCAAGCCTTGCAGCCCGGTCGCTGCTGGGCTGAGATGGTGTGGCAGCCCTGATCCTGACACAGAGGGGGCATTGGGTGGGTTGGGGGTGCAGCACCTCCACTCTCTGCTTGCCCCTCTCCCAGGAGACGTGGGCCTTCCTGGAGGAGCTGTTGGACTTCTTTGAGACCTACATCTCCTGGGCCAAGAGCAGGGTGAGTTGAGCCTTCCTTGTTGGGGTAGAGGGGAGGACAGGCTGCAGGGTTCTGGGGACACTTGCATGTCCTGTCTGCAGCTGAAAGAAGATGTGGCACGTTGCAAGACCATAGCTCAGACCCTGGATAACATGGAGGCCATCACCTGCGACTACATCCTGGACTCTCTGGTGAGTGGGGCAGCGGTGTGTGCAGGGTGGCACATGTGTGTGGTGTGGCAATGAGGTCCCATCATGCACAGGATGAGGAGTACCTGTCTCTGTCCCAGCAAGCAGGGCTTGGCACCTTCCCAGCAGATTGCTGTGGATAAGAGCAAAGGCCAGGCTGTCGGAAGGGATGGATTGGTGGTCTTTAGGGGGGGCTGGGAGAGGCTCTTCCAGTCACTGTCTGGGCCCTGATGGCTCTCCCCCTGCACCCAGAATGCCTTCTGGTTCAGCCTGGGCTGGTGCACCTTCTTCCTTCTGCCCAGCATCATCCTGGCCGTCAGACTTGCCAAGTTTTACCGCCGCATGAGCATCGCCGATGTCTACAGGTGAGGAGTCGCCCACCTGCTGTGACCACACTGGGCCTGGGGTTCCCCCTGCACAGTGCAAACCGCCCCTTGGTGTGCCTCATGGCAGCCTGTGCGGCTGGTCCTAAAGTAACACAGGCTGGGGACAAGCGGCTTGGGACCTTCAGCCTCTGAGGACGGAGATGTTTTGGAGAAGAGCCTGGCTCTGCAGCTCCTCTTTGGGCAGCCCGAAGTGCATGCAAGCCCCTTCAGAGGAAGGAGCCTGGCTTGCATGGCATGGCTGCAGCTCCCAGCCTGGCTCGCGGGTCCGCCACCGACTCACTCTGCTTTGCACCATGGTTTGTGAGGGGTTCCAAAAGGGAGCACAGCACAGAATACAGCACGCTGCATGGTTGGTGCTGTTGCCACGAGGGAGCAGTGCTTGCTCATCCACCCATGGCCACCAGTGCCCTGGGGCTGCCCCCCAGCCTTCTGGGGCCCTTTTCCCTGTCTCTCCAAGGGCTCTCTGAGCAGCAGCCCCGCTGCCAGTGCAGCTCCAACCCCTGAGGGTAGCTGCCGAGGCCCTGCAGTGCAGCCGGTTTGCTGGGGGCTCCCTGTGCCCCCCCAACACCACTGTGCAGGGGTGCCAGGGTTTGCAGCACCCTCGTGCCCAGCACAGCCCCCGCCACCCGTCCTGCCTACCTGCCCCACTCCTCCTTGCTCCATGCCCCGGCTGTCCTGGGACCCATGCCTGGGCTGTACACGGTGACACGGTGGTGAGGCAGGCTGGGCCGTGCCTGCAGCGTGCCTGGTGGCCCCACCGTCTTCCACTTCCCCAGCAGCCAGCAGCTGAGCTGGTTGGAGACACAGGCTTGGCGCCTGGAAATGGGGGAACTGAAATCATGGCACTGGGGAGCTGTGTGCCACTGAGCTGGTGAGCATGGGGGCCCATGCTGCCTGCCCAGGGAGGGGGCAAGGGGGCTCTGGGGGCAGCCATGTTCTCGGGGCCTGTAGGAGCCCTTGCTCTGTGTCCATTGAGATGGGGCAGTCAGGATGGAGGGGACCACACCACCCTGCAGCCCCTGTGTCCTCCTTGTGTGCTCTGAGGGAGACCTTGTCCCACTGAGGGGTGCTGGGCTGTGCCAGGAGGCATCTTCTTGCCCCACTGACACTGTCCCCTTTTTTCTCCCCTCCAGGAATGAAGCTATGGAGATGTAAGTAGCAGTGGCAGGGCCTGTGTGGGGTGGGGGGGCAACTCCTGTGGCATGAGGGGGGACAGGGCACAGAAGGGAACAGGTGAGTGCAGGCCAAGGAGGGTGATGGCATCAGGGCAGGACTGGGAAGGTGGGACCTGTCCTGGGGTGCCCCCATCATTTTCCCACATCCCAAGTTTGAGGGTGCTGCTGCTCCCAGCCTCCGCCATGCTGGTGGGGCGTGTGGGAGTCTCTGTACCGTCTTTCCTGTGGGTGCAGGTGCCAGGAGTGGGATGGCATTTGGCCATCCCAGCGCATCCTGGCTCCCCTCTGCGGCTGGAGGTAACACGGGTGACCTTGGTTTTGCAGGCCCCCCACGTTCAACTTCTACAAAATCCCCCGGCCAGCCACAAGGCATTAGTGCTGCCCGCAGCATGGCTGCGGTGGAGATGGACACTGCACCTCTGGCTGCTGTGCCGCCTTCCGAGCGCTGGGGAACAGGGTGGAAACCCTCAGTTCCCATTATGTGACCATGCCCTGTTGCACACGGGAGGAGGGCTGCCTCTTGCACTGCCCCACGCGGGACTTTACCCCCCCCTCCACTGGACCCCGTGGGCTCAGAGCAGCTTGTGCCATCCGTGCCCCCGCAGCCTGCAGTGCTGGCCAGCGGGAAACTGCTCACCAGGCCCCTTGTTCTAAAAGGTATTTATTTTTGCAGGGAGCCTTGGCTCCAAGGCTGTGATTGTTCTGGTGTCAAACAATAAACAGGGCGTTTGTGTGCACTGCAGCCATGGGGCCGTGCTCTTCACATCCAGCTGTGCACTTCGTGTCCAGCTCTGAGGAATGATGCATGGGTAGGGGCAGAGAGGGTTCTCCACTGCTGGCCTGGGACTAGAAGGCTCCTGCTGCTGCACACATGCTCTGCCCGCAGCCAGCTCTTGGAGTCCTCACCCAGCCCATGGGTTGATGCAGGACCATTGCTCAGCATCACCGGTGCTGGGTGATGTTCCCCTCACCGGGCAGCCCTCTGCACCCACAGCTCAGTGGGTGCTACATCCTTCCCTGGGAAAAGCTGCACCAAGAGCCTCCTGTCCACAAGGCACACTCCATGCTGTCCCCAGCACCCTCCAGCTTTGTATCGCTGCTTTGTATCACTGTGGGTTTCTGTTTAGTTTATGGGGTGCCTGCAGCCTGCACCTCCCTGTGTCTACTGGGTATGGTAGCAATGACTTTCAGTGTCCACCCGTGCATGTCCCACACTGCTGCACAGCACAGAGGGGCCTGCCAAGAGCTGCATGCACAGTGGTAACAGATAAGCCAAGGGCAACTTGCTTTGCACCTATGGTGTTGCCTTGCGCTGCTCCTTGGTGCAAGCACAGGGACCATCCTGAAAGCCAGGACATGCACAGGGGATGTATGTGAGCAGCTTGCCTCATTTACCTTGTTGCAAAGTCCCAAGTCTCTCTGGAACAGAGCAACGGGGCTGAACTGGCCTGCGCACCATCCACTGTCACATCTGCTTTATCGCTTGTTCCATTTGCTTTCAGATCTTCTAATCGCTGCTTTTTTCCTCCAGGCCTTATCTGAAGCTGCCTTACCTCCTGCTATCTGCCCCTAGCACCCATCCTGACTGCACGGAGATCCATGCTTCCTATCAGCCTGATGAATCTGTCCTCTGGGGTGGTTCTGCCCACATGGATGCCTGCACTTTCTGGTCCTTGGGGGGGGGGATTTCCCAGCAGCCCTTGGAAAGCATTCAGCTCAGTTTTGTCTCTTGCTCTGCCTTTGCTATTCCCCACCCTGAACCCTCAGCCTCACGAACTGTGACTGCTTTCTGCTGATCTACAGGCCACGTATGGAGGTCTCTGTCCCCACTGTACAACGTTCCCTGCTTCCTCTTCCCTTGCTGTGCCTCAGGGACACCAGCCCATGCAGGACTGCTGGTGGCTTCGGTTTCTGCTCTTTGGCTTTGCGGGCACGGCTCCCTTCCTGCTCCTCTCTTCTGCTCCATCTCCTGCTATGGCCTTTTCTCTGCAGAGCTACTACTGGAAGGCAGGAAGCTTGACCCTCCTTGTTGTGTCACCATGGCCACCTGCACCCAAACCCAGCCCTGGCAATGAGAATCTGCCCCCAAATTACTGTGCAGCCTTTGCTGAAGTGGTCCTCAGCAGCTCCTCATTCAGTGCTGCCCCAGGGCACCATCCCAGCCCCTGGAGCCATGGCTCTGATAGGGGCAGGGTCTGTCCTCCTCTTCCTGAGCAGCCTTGGAAACAGGTGTGCTCATTGAAGAGGTGAGGACGGCTCATTGCAACTTGCCCACAGTGGCTGCTGCAGGCTTTCCTTTCACTCCAGACTTCCTCTTCATGTGAGCTGCAGCTGCCAGAATCCACTTCCCTTGTGTGGGAAGAAAACTCACAGCACCCACAGCCACAGCACAAGGCCTGCCATAGGGAAGGCCTCCTCAACAGCCAGCTAGCCTCTAGAGAACCGTTGCAGCAGTTCCTCTTCCCCTTTGCCAGACTTCTTCCATCCCAGGGACTTTCTGTAGCTGAGCCCTTGTCTGTGGCAGCCCTTGTCTGCATCTTCATAGCAATTTGACAAACCAGGCAGCTCTGCCACTGCATGCCTCAGGCAGCAGGCTCCTGTGGGAGCCAGCCTGGTGCTCCCAGATGCTGGTTTTCCAGCCAGGAACTAAAGGACAAGGTACAGCTCTTGAGAAAAAAAAATTCTCCCTTCCTCAACGCTATCTTGGGCCCAGCCACAGCCATGCACTGCCCACATGGTCCTTTTCTATGGCACACACATTCCTTCCTGCCTGCCTGTGTAAACTCCTTCCTCCATGGCTTCACAGTCATGAGCTGACTTCCACAGAGGGAATGGACTGCCTGGGCACACAGCTCGATCTCTGAGCCCAGAACGTACCAGTGGTGAGTTGAGCTTGGCCACTTTTCATCAGAAGCAGAATAAAACTGCCCTCCTCCTGAGGGTGCACATCTTAAACATCCACCACCACCCCAGGGCTGCTTTAGAAATCTTTATTTTCAAAAGGAGTCTGTCTTCCACCCTTAGCCCTGCTCTGATGAGGCAGCGCCAGCCCAGCAAGGCAAGAGACAGCTCCTTCACACCACAGCCTGGAATGCAGGGGCAAAGCCACAGCCAGGGTCTCTCTCATGAAGGAGGGGGCCAGGCAGTGAACACCGGAGAGAGGCTGGAACATGGATCTTCCTGCACAACTGCTCTCAAGTTACACTGACTTTGCAGAGGCACAATATGAGCCAGACAACCCTGACAAAGCCCCTTTTGTGTGCAAAGGGCAAAGGTAGAGGAGATGGGAACAGAGGGCCCGAGTATCCTGCAGCATAATCTAAGATGCCACAAAGGAAAGGGGGAGGCAGGGCCAGCCCCAGGCTCATACAGACTGCTGCCAGCTTCTCAGCTAAGAGTTTGGGTACCGCCTGGGATAGTGAGATAAGGGAATTAGGCTGCTCTCTTCAGCTAAGTAGCTGCAATCAGTCACAGCTACAGGATTGATCCCAGGGGAATTGCAGCCAGATAGTGTGTGAAGTGTTGCAGCTGCCAGTGCATTTGCTGGTACCCCCAGTACCACGGAGCTGTACCATGCTAGCATTCAGGCACCTGACTGAGCCCAATGCAGCAGCACTTTGTGACTTCACTGCAAGAAACATGCCCAGTTTCCCACAGGCAGAGTTTGGGGCCACCACAAAAGCCACTGAACAGAGAGTTGCACGGGGAGGAAAGACTGTGTGCGTCCCTGCCCACCATTCCTAGAGGGTCAGCGAAGTTATAAAGGAGCCAGGCAAATTGAAAACAAAGTGCTTCAGGCAGGGAGCAGTTCTGTAGTCCTGTAGTGCAGCCAGTGCTTTCATCTGCAAATGCACCCGGCATTTGCTCCTCCACTGGGGCACACGCAATTGCACTTGCTAGAAATAGCCAGAAAGCCTGCCCTGGCTTCAGATGAGATCCCCCAACCCCAGCTATCCAACACACTCTTCGAGATGCTGCCACAGGAGTAGC